TGGACACATTCATTCGCCTTACCAAGCCTTCACTTCAAGGCCACATTCATCACCAAACCCCCATTGTCCGCTTCGGCTTTGCTCTCCATAAAGCGCCTCCCCCAGGAGCAGCGGCCACTTTACCTGGTCAACCTCCTACCAGCCAATGACGACGTCGTTTCGGCAACATCCATGTCCGAAAGCGCCGCCTGTTCCGCTCCCCTTTTACATCTCTCCGCGCCCTGCCCCCAAACTTTCCCCGTTCAGGCCAGCCCGCAGCACCCCCCTTTCCCCCATCGCCAGTTTCCCGCGCCAAATCCTCAAGAGGTTCCTTGGCTCACAGAAGGCCAGGGAAAATTACTGGCAATACGCCAAAAACACATCTACACCTTTTTAAACCGTACCGTACCTAAATGCATCCTACTGTGTATCCGTTCTTCTGTACAACCCCTCCTCACCTCCACGAACACTAAGTTTATCGAGCTCATCCATTCAATGTCTCCTCTTCCCTTGCTTTCTCACCAGCCATACATTCCTGCCTCACCAGGGCGACTCACGAGTTATACTCGTGCCTGGTGGTTGGGTAGGGCGAGCTGGTGCTCCGTGTCTGAAGTCTGGTCTGATCAGCGTTGGCCAGGATTAGCGTCGACCGGGATTAACGTTGTCCAGGAATAGCTTCGGCCAAGGATTAGTTTCGACCAGGAAGTTTCCTGCGAAGCATCTTTCATCCCAAAAATTCGAACGCCCAAATCGGTTCGAAATTGAGGGTTACCTTGGGGCATCATATGCGAGGTTACCTCATAGTTCCCCTGAAGACCCCAAAAGGAAACATGAGGGGAACAACGACATCCGCGAAATGTATTACAAACTCGCCCAGTTTCGGAAATCAGAAACTGACGAATCAGGATGAAGCAAAAGTTTGAGGACACCCCGAGGAAACCCCGTCTGCCTCGGAACGAGGCTGGTCAATTGGTTTCAGCATCCGAGGCTGACCCCGAGCCAGTTTTGTACATGCTTTTACAGCAGCACTGTAGATTTACCATCTCCAAGCGTGCAAACGCAGCTCACCATATCGAATTTTACATGATGGGTTTCGCTAGGTGGCAGCCAGGATTTCGTGCACCAATCAAAGTTGTGCAAGTCACTTCAGCCATTCGGTCACTCGGAGGTATTTCACAGCCTCATCTAACCCACTTCCCTCATTCTTCAGTGTGGTCAATGTGTCGAGTGACCACTTCTCTTAACTCGCCGCCATGTCCGCATTTTCCGCTACTTCAGTTTCCTAGACATTTCTAGGGAAATAGGGTGACCGATAAATAGCTTAGTATCTCGTCATTCCATTTCTGATTAAGCAACGTCTTAAACCTGGCGATTGGAGGCGTGAATGACTAGTAGTTATTCTATCGTCAGTTTTTAACTGTTTCCTCAAGCTTGTGTGTTTCTTTGCTGGCAGCACCTACCGTCGTGCCGGCGCTCATGTTGGAGATATAGATTATGCATACGAGGTAAGCAAGTCGCCAGTGAGTCACCTGTTTGTCATCGCCGTTATGTTTCATGGCGTTTTTTCCCAGCGCCAATGTTGTATTTGTCAACCACCCGTTTAGCTCTGCCATTCTGTGCGATGGTTGCCTTAGCGCAGTGCTGTTGCAGGTGAAGCGTAACCAAGATTCTTACCTGCCAAGTCACTTTCTGGTAAGTATACTCTCTGTAGTAAACTTTGCTGGCGTGGAATGTCGTTTTCTATTGTTTCCAGTTCCTAGCGATGTGCTTGTGCAGGCGAAATCAAGCCTCCTACATGCAAAGACTCTTCTTTCTGGTAAGTTCTGTTTACTAGACGCTGGCGTAAAACGTTATTTTCCCCTCATTCCATTTCCTCGTTGCTAACATTTCTCTGCTTGTTGTTTTCACTGCTCTAATGTGGCAGGAAATTAAGTTGACTGGTTTGAGAAGCAGGAAACTTCTGTTGATTTGCTGCCATTTGGTGCTCATTGACCTTTTCTGGTTTTACTTTACCCGTCGTTTTAGCACACTGTTTAGGCGTGTCGTGTATGACATGTGTTGTTTCAATCCATGTACTGCAATGCTTATTTTATATGCAATGCTAAGTCACCTTGTGTTGTCCTGTCCATTTGTTATTACCGTAAAAGAGAAACACGATTGATTAAAAATTATTTTGCCTAGTAACCTGTAAACTAATTAAATTGAGTGTACAGCAGGAGTGTAGTATTTGAATTATTGTTCGCGGCGCGATTGACGGTGGCGTTTGATTGGCTCCAGCAACGTGGGAGCCGAATCATCGCGGTGACATGACGGTTTTCTGTAGGTTACCTGTAGGTCACCTCTGTGGGTAACCTTGAGGTCACAACGAACTTTGAGGTGACCTTCAGGGCCCGGGGGCTGGTGCATGGGTTTCGGCAGTTCCGGCTCATTCAGATCTCACATTCACTGCAGCGGAGTGGGGCATTGCTGCTGCTATACGGCTTGGTCTCCCAATCCAGCAGCTGCAAGTGGCGGGGAAGTGTGTTTGTGGCACAGCGTATGATGACCCAGCAGACCCGCATCATGCGCTGAGATGCAAGCACCAACACGGTCCATCTCGGGTGCATGATGAGGTGAAGTTTGCGGTGGCAAAGATCGCTAAGGCGTCAGGGGGGGTGGTGACGATGGAGGATAGTGCGGTGCTGCCGGGGAAGCGGGTTGACGTAGCGGTGCGACGACCAATGGCTGGGGAGGCTCATGCTTTAGAGATTAGTGTCGCGGACCCGCTATCACTGTCTCCATCTCTGCTAGGGCAGTGCGGGCGGTCTATAGGCGTGGCGGCAAAGGAGTGGGAGCGTCGCAAAACGGGGGATTACGCGCCTCTTCTTGCACGGAACCGAGGCGTGCAGTTCACCCCTTTGATAGTGGAGACGTGGGGGTGTCTCGGCGGTCGCTTCCGGCGGTGGCTTCGACAGCAGGGGGACGCGCACGTGGGGCTAGCTGTGTCACGGGGGGCTTGTCGGGAGGATGACACTTCGTTCTCGGCTTACCTTTTGGGGTCTCTGAAGGCGCTCATCGGAGTGGCGTTACAACGGGCGCAAGCTCGTGTCATCCTGCTTCGGGCGGCGTCTTCCATGGGGGGGTTGAATGTGGACTTGGTGGATCGGGAGAGGGACGATGTCGAGGTGGAGGGCGGGCCTCTTTGGGTGGAGGCCCCCTACATGGTGGATGTGCAGATGTGACTTGGGGGGGGGGGGGGGGGGGGGGGGGGGGGGGGGGGGGGGGGGGGGGGGGGGGGGGGGGGGGGGGGGGGGGTTGCGTTTGAGTTGTTTCTGGTGTCTTTCTTTCCCTTTTCCTTCTCCCTCTTTCCCTTTTCCTCTTTCAAAAGCGTGAAGCCAGTTTCTGGGACTTAATATGAAAATGCTTTTGTATACTGAAAAACGAAGTCTTGCTGGTTAAAACGTATACTCAATCCTTTGGGTTACCCACTGGTAGGTATCCCAAAGGTGACCTTGCGGCATCTTTTTGCGGCCAATTTTTTTGGGATGTTATGTCGTGCGGGTGGATGCGGCCTGCGACAACTCTAGTTGTGCAGCGTGTCGCATAGGCTGCACTCTTGCTTGTCGCGAAGCTTTTTCGTACACATCGGTTACCGTTGGAGCGGCGAGGCCTCCGTCGGCTGTACGCTGGTGGCCTTTTCCGCACTTCTTCCATTCGCGATCAGTCGTCAGACAGTCTCCTGTGGTCGCTCCAAAAGTCTCCTGTAGTCGACTTTTGAGACGTCTCAAAAGTCCTTCCATTCGCGATCACTCGTCAGACAGTCTCCTGTGGTCGCTCCAGAAGAGTCCATTCGTGGCCGGCAGTGCTTCTGCGCGAGGCTTGTGTTTCGACTTGGGCATCAGCACCAAGTCAGCCATGGCTTCCATGGTGAGCCCGTCCTCGTAGCGCGTCGTTTCAATTCACCCGGTTGACCCGGACAGTGAAACATGTCTCTTCTTACGGTTGGACCCAGCGGTCCATCGGTCAACGCCGTCGTTGGGTCAGCGTAGTCCATCGGTCAACGCAGTCGTTGGGTCAACGCGGTCCATCGGTCGACGCATTCGTTGGGTCAACGCGGCCCATCGGTCAACGCGGTCCATCGGTCCTCATCTTGAGACTTGTCAAAAGTGATTTTCTTTCACGAAGTCAATAGAACGTGCGTCCTTTCACTGTCGAGTCCATCGGGCCTACTCCGTCACTTTGGTGAGGTTCTCAACCCCCCGGCGACGCATTCTTTGCGGCTACGTAATCAAGGCGCTGGGAGTCATGTTGTACGATCGCAAAACGAGAAACGATCAGAACTATCGCTCGTCGCAAGTTATTATCGGAGTCTTTGAGCTCAATCATGTATTTCATATCGCTCAATCGAACCACCCCACAGATTTAATGAAGCGCTGTGAGTCATGTTGTACGATCGCATAGCGGGAATTTATCAAAACCAATCATGTATTTCGTTTTGCTCCACCGATATGCCCACAGACTTACCTTTCCTCATGCTCAGTCGAACACATCACAGAAGCACCTTCCCCTTGGTCATTCAACCCACGCAGCCCCGTAGACTTCTACTGTTTCAAGCGCATTGAAATCTTACAACACCCTCTTCTCCCCTTTCTCGTCGCCTCTTCCCCCTTTCCCCTCCCCCCTCCCCTCTCCCCCAGCCAACCCCCCTCCCCCACCCTCTTCCCCTTTTCCCACATCCCTTCACCTTTCCCCTCCTCGTCCCCCTTCCGTGCTTTCTTCAGCGAACCCCCTTTCTCCGTTCCACCCAGCAAATGCAACTTTGTATGCCGTTGCCCTCGCCCCCCTCCCCCATGCCCTTCTGTTGGTCCAGGCTGTGTCGTCCGCAGCAGCACCAGCGTCAGAAGCGGCAATGGACTGTGCTGTAGCCATGCAGCCTTCCACTGAGGCACCCTCCGCCCTCTCCGCTCTCCTCTCCGCCTTCTCCCCTCTCCCCTCTCCCCTCTCCCCTCTCCCCTCTCCCCTCTGTCCTCTGTTTCATCCAGGCCGAAGCGTCAGCAGCAGCACCGGCGTCAGAAGCGGCAATGGACTGTGCTGCAGCCATGCAGCCTTCCACTGAGGCACTCTCCTATCGGATCGGAGGCATGCTGGGCATCCTCGTCAGTAGCATGTGAGAATCATCCTCGTAGTCAATCTCGCTTTCATTACTTCGCGAATCATCCTCGTTAGTAGCTGCAGCATGGCACGACGCGAGTCTCTCTCGCGTTATTGTTTGTGCACTGCAGAACAAAAACATTGTCTGGCAAAGGTCTCTCTGGCACAGACTGTCGAAATCTCACACGCCTGGTGCGTTTTGAGTCGACTCAAAACACACACTGCCGAAAGCTCACACGCCTGGTGCGTACTTACGAAACAGACAGATTCGAGAACAGCATTAGACGCATGCAGTTCATGAACGGGTATAGATATGTCCATGGTTTCATCCTAATCCCATGCTACTGCTGGGTGCGTGCATCTTTGAGGCGCCTCAAAAGATATGTACGTGGTTTCATCCTAATCTTCTGCTACTGCTGCATGAATAATCAGGTGTAGCAGGCAACTCTAATTAGTGTGTATGTGTGGTGCCATGGCCGTTTCTTAACCCATCTGTCTCTTTTCCCTTCATTACCCATCCACACCCATCCTCACGCATCCGCACCCATCTGAACCGCATTACCTTCACTCCTTCCCATTATTTCCCCTGTCAATTCCATTACGACCCTCCTCACCCTCGCGCTTCACATTCATAAACCCCTCTGAACCACGCATAACCCCTTGACACCTCTTACAACCGGGGTACACATTCAGATTTTTTTGGGGGATGGAGGAACAAATTTTCTGGGGGTTGGGGCGAAATCTGGCCGTTATGTGGGCATCAAAGGTTATTCCCTGATGCCCACCCAGGTGAATGTGCACCCCGGTTTTAACCCCGCTCCTCCCTGCCCGCAACCCCCTTCCCCCTCCCCGCTTTCGTTCAGTATCGGTTTCTCCCTGCCATTGTTGCTACGCGGGCGTCATAAGACGTTGCTTTTCTTCTTCCGCGCCTCTGCCGCTGGCGTCTGAGTTTTCTCAAAGTCTCCTCCGCCTTCCCCCCTCCTCCCTCCCTCCCCCTCTCTCCTTCCAGCATCGGTTTCTCCCTGCCATTCCTGCTACGCGGGCGTCATAAGACGCTGCTTTTCTTCTTCCGCGCCTCTGCTGCTGGCATTGTCTTGGCTGTAGCCATCGTGCACATCTTCCCTGGTGCGTAATAACTATCAATAGATATGTATATTATGTATGTATATACCTTTTAAGATATATCTTTACAAGTGTGTATATGTGTATGAATCTTTGTCAGATACCTCTGCGAGTTCAAAGGTTTCTGTCAGAGCTCATTAAATCGCATATCTTTGATATGGTAAAATTCTGGTAACTTGTACCTTGCCTTTCAATCAGAGCCCTGCGTAGCACCCCTTTCCGTTTCACCTTCCCCCTTCCACCCCCACTACACCCTCCGCCTTCCCCCACTCCTCCCCTTCACTTCCCGTCGGTTGTCCCTCCCTCTCCTCTGTACCCAGGTGCCAAGCCAAGTAGATTGTGGAATCCCTTCTCTTTTGAGGTTGATTTTGAGAATTCTCAAAATCCCTCCCTCTCCTCTGTACCCAGGTGCCAAGCCAAGTAGGTTCTCTCTCCCTCTCCTCTGTACCCAGGTGCCCAGTAGATTGTGTAATCCCTTCTCCTTGTCGTCCTTTCCCTGGGCGCCAGTCTTCATTCCTTCCTCCCCCCACCAATTGCCCTCTCCTAACTAACCAGGTACACAGGAGCCGCTCTTAAATCCCTGCCTGGACTTCTCCGCCTCGTCCTTTCCTTGGCACCTGTCTTCATCCTCTCCTCCCTCCCACTTCCTTCTTCTCTCCGGTTTCTCCTCTCCTCCCTCCCCACCCAGGCGCACAGGAGGCGCTGTCAAACCCATGCCTGGACATCTCCTCCTCGTCCTTCCCCTGGGCGCCGGTCTTCATCCTCTTCTCAGCGCTCTGCTCCTTCCTCGTAGAGTGCTACCTCAGGAAGCTCCTCCTCCTCTCCTGGCGCCGCAGACACCCCTCCGCTGCTGCTGCTGCATCTGCCGCTGGTTCTGTTGGCTCTATCGGTTCTGCTGGTGGGAGCAGCAGGAGTGGCGGTAAGAAGCGGAGGCTGGGTGCGGGTGGTGTGGGGCGCGTGGCACGAGCTGTTGCTGCGTTGCTGGCTGGCGGGAGGAGGAGGAAGGGAGCGGGAATTAGCAAGGGCGGCATTGGAGGTGGCAGGGGAAGCAGCAAGAGGGATGGGAGGTTGAGGGAAGATGGGAAGCAGCAGAAGGCATGGCAAACGGATGGGGGAAGCACCCCCCCTGATGTGGCATGCCATGCTTCCCCCCCATGCTGTGATGCCCCATGCAGTGCTGCTGCTGTTGCTTGTCATGACAAGGCATGCCACGATGACACATGCCATGACACCCCATGCCACGAAGTGGTGTGTCACGATGCCACCTGTCACGATGCCACCTGTCACGATGCTGCCTGTCACGATGCCACCTGTCACGATGCCACGTGTCCGGATGTGACTTGCCCCGAATCCCCGGAATCCACCCGTCACAGCACTGCATGCCAGGAGATCACGTGTCATGACGCCACCTGTCATGAAACCACCTGCCAAGGTAGCACGTGCCCAGACACAACCTGTCCAAATAACACCTGCCGTGGCGTCACCTGCATGGAAGCCACCTGTCCCTCTGCTGCCTGTGTTCAATCCCAGTGCATTGGGACCAAGTGTGCGGATTCCACTTGCGCTGACGCTAAGTGCATGGAAGCCAAGTGCACCGACGCGCAGTGCTTAGCTAAGTGCCTCGCGTGCCCCGACTGCGCCCTGGACGTGAGAGGAGGGGAGGAGGAGAAGGCAGCAATGAAAACCGGGAAAGCTGAGTGGGAGGAGCAGGAAGGGCGGGAGGAGAGCGAGGAGAGCCGGATGAGGGAAGCAGTGGCTCTGTCGTCGCTGCGGGCAGTGGCGTACACGCTAGAGGCGGGCATCATCTTCCACTCCATCTTCATTGGCATCGCCCTTGGGGCAAACCATGACAGCGCCGAGATCCAGGGGCTTGCCGTCGCCCTCGTCTTCCACCAGGTGTGCTCTTAGGTGCTTGCCATTTAGGTGACTTATGCGTCAGACTCAAAGGTCTCTTCCACTCCATCTTCATTGGGATCGCCCTCGATGCCAACCACGATAGCGCGGAGATTAAGGGGCTCGCTATTGCTCTTGTCTTCCACCAGATGTGTATCCTTGTCTGTGCACTCGTCTTCGTGTCCTCTTGGAGTGTCTTTTGCATGCTCCCCTCATTTCGCCCTTCACTCACCTCACCTCGGTCCCCTCTTTGCAAGAGCGATTGTTCTTCAATCTCGTCAGCTACATTTTTTACATGCTGCAAGGCTCGGTCACCCCCTCTCCCACCCGTCACCTCGCCATTTTCTTATCACTCCATTTCTTTTGGGGGTCTAAGAAGGCTCCAACTCAATGATCTGTCCAATTTCCCTCCTCCCCCTCTCTCCCTCCTCCCCCTCTCTGTCTCCTCTATCAGGGATTCGAGGGCATAAGTCTTGGAACTGCAGTCGCCCCGTGCCGCTTCTCACACCTCAAGACCCTGTGCATGGGGCTGCTGTTTGCATTCACCACACCTCTGGGCGTGGCTATAGGGTTGGCCGTCCATTCGTCCTATAACTCCAACAGCCAGGCTGCTCTGGCAACTGAGGGCGCGTTCAATGCCGTGTCGGCTGGCATCCTCATTTACAACGGACTCGTTGACTTGTTAGTGCCAACGTTCGACGAGCACGACGAAAACACCCCCAAGGATCCGATTGCGTACTTCTTTGGGTTTGTGTTTTTGTTTCTGGGAGCTGGAGCCATGAGCCTGCTCGCCATATGGGCCTAGAAATGACTGGGGAACTTGTGCTATAAAGTGTGATTCTTATTTCAACCCACTCTGATGGGATTAGGTTATTGCAGCATTTGTAGAGTGCATGTTCTTATTGCTTTTCTAAGCTTTTTGCATTAGGAATCGTCACTTGGTTGAACATGTAACCGATGAAGTTGGTGTTTCCGTAGAAACCTGTCGTCGAGCAAACCACGCCTTTCATATATTCTTGTCGGCAATCCCAAGGCTGGCTCTTTAAGTACTTTTAGTCCCACTGTACCAACTCCATTCACTAACGCGCTTCCTCTGTAGTCTCCTAGCCGCTATCTAGCAAGCAACTCTTGAATCGGCCCAATATTGTGACGGTTGTTTTTTCTCTCGTTGTAGGAGGGTGTTTTTAGCGTCAACAGTTTCTAAAAGCGAAAATGGGTAGCGGCGCGTATCAGAATGAGGAATGAATGATGCATTGATGTTGGTTGGGGTACATATAACAAACCCTAACTTCTGTACCCCCTAAGACAAACCTCACTACATGCTACAACATTTGACACACCCCCATAGCCTAAGTGAGGGGTGTCTAGCAAAATCAAAAAGAGTACGGTCACAAGACCAGTCCAAAAGAAAACAAAGCTCAGGGTGGATCACAACGTCACCACACTCTCTGAGCACAAGCAACAGTGGCCACAAGGCCAGTCCAAGAGATCACAAGTATATATAGCAAGAGTACAAACGAAGCAGGCAGTAAACTCAAGCCTACACACGACTAGAACCTGTGTCAACAAGGCCTAACTGCACACAACACCTCTGGTGGTCACAAGGCGGAAGCGCCTTGGTGAAGACGTCTGCAGTGTTGGCCTCGGACTCCACAAACTCGAAGCGAGCCTGTCCACGTCTCTGCAACTCTCGCAGAAGAAAGTACCTGACGTGAATGTGCTTCACTCTGCTCTCCAGTCGCGGCTCACGACAGAGGAGAATCGACGCCTTGTTGTCAGTGAACAAGGTCGGTGCAGAGCTCGGCTGCTCACCAAGGTCGGCGAGCAAGAAGGTCAACCAACGCAACTCCTGTGCCGCCATGGCACCAGCGTAGATCTCAGCCTCAGCTGTAGAGGTCGAGACAGAAGAGGAGCGCGTGGAACGCCAGGAAACAGCTCCAGAACCCAGACTGAAACAGTACCCCTGAGTAGACCTGTGAGTCTCAGCGTCGTCAGCGTAAGAGGAGTCACAGTGACCAGTGAGTACGACAGACTGCTGCCCTCCAAGAACTAGCCCCACGCCTGATGTAGTCGCTAGGTACTTCGCCACCCTCACAGCTGCCGTCCAGTGAACAGGACGGTGTCTCCCTGGCGCAACAAAGCGCGCAAGGATGCTGAGAGGGAAGGCGAGGTCTGGGCGAGTACAAGTCATCAGGTACATGAGGCAACCCACAAGCTCTGCATAGGGCCCACTAGGCTCAAACGGCTCGTCAGGAAAGGGACCAGTGAGTCTGTGGTCAACAGCGAGAGGTGTGCGCTGTACGGTGGAGTGCTGAAGCCCGAACTGCTGAAGGACCTGCTGCACCATGTGTGACTGTGAGAGTGTAATGGTGCGAGCGGCTCTGTCCCTGGTGATCTGCAGGCCAAGGTAGTGGCGCAGCTCACCAAGGTCAGTGCACGTGTGTCTCTTCTGCAGTTCGGACTTCACGTCTGCCAAAGCAACCCTGTCCGGAGTGGCGAAAACGAGGTCGTCGACGTAGACCAGAACAAAGAACGGTGTGGAGCCACGACGAACGAACAGCGACGGGTCGGCAGAAGACGGCTGGAACCCAAGGTCAGAGATTGTAGAACGCAGAGTGTCGTGCCACTCACGAGGCGCCTGGTGGAGACCGTAGACAGGTCGCCTCAGCCTCCACTGGGTCTCAGGAGGGAAAGTGCCAGTGAAGGCCGAGGGACGATGCAGCCAGACCTCCTCGTGTAGGCTGCCCTGAAGGAAAGCAGTGGAGAAGTCGAGAGAGTGTAACTCGTAGTCTCTCTGTGCTGCTACGTGTAGTAACACCCGAAGAGTGGTCATCTTCGGGGTAGGTGCGAAGGTCTGAAAGAAGTCAACTCCCTCGCGCTGACTGAAACCTCTAGCCACGTAGCGCGCCTTGAAGACCGGGGGAGATCCCGGTGGCCGCTTCACCCTGTAGATCCACATGCCGTCGACTACGTTCGCCCCAGGGGGGGGAACCTCATCGACGTAGGTGCCTGTGGATCTGTAGGAGGCCATCTCTGCGTCCATGGCAGCTCTCCACTGAGAGGCCCAAGGCCCTGACACTGCCTCAGCGTAAGTGCGAGGAGTCTGAATGTTAAGGGCGTCGGGGTCACCCTCAGGGGCGAGGAGCATGGCACAGAGATGAGGGGAAGCGGTCGCCAGGAACTCTAGCTCAAACTGCCTGTCCTCTAGGGCGTCACAGCCAAGGGCAGACACACCCCCGACGGCCAGAGGACTGGAAGGAGGAGCAGCCACAAGACCGGTGGCGAAGTCAAGGCGGCGGGTAGAGGCAAAGTCAGTGACTGCGGCAGTAAGAGCGGAGACAGAGGACAGAGAGGCACGAGGGTGAGTAACAAGAGAGGCGAGAACACGAGAGAGAACAGGACGGTACGTGCGGTAGTAGTCAGTGACAGGAGTAGGAAGCGACGCAGTGAGGGCAGACTCAGGAGGAGACGGAAGCACAGACGGAGACGGTCGAGGTGGACGAGAACAAAGTAAGGCAGTACGAAGGTCAGTGAAGGGAACAGGAGACGAGGGACGAGCACGAGGGGAGCGACGAGAGGCCCAAGTCTGAGAAGGAGGAGGGGACAACGAAGACTGAGAACGAGGGAAAACAGCGGGAGAGGGGTCAGGAGGAGGAAGCGGAGGACCAGAGACGGGAGGAGAGGGGGAGGAGGAAGGAGAGCGAGAGGGGAGACCAAGGGTCCGAAGACCCGAGACAGGAGGAGGAGACGGCTGCTGCTGCTGCTGGGGCTGCTGCGGCTGCTGCTGCTCCAGCGGCTGCTGCTCCTGCTGCTGTCGCTCCTGCTCCTCGAGCCGCTGCAACTCTCGCTCCTCTCTCTCCAACTCCAGCTGCTCCTCACGAGCACGGCGAACACGAGCCTGGAACCTGGTCGGGTAGGGGTGGGGGGAAGGAGTAGTGTCCGGGGCAGCGGCAGCCCCAGAGTCCACCTCCGAAGCACCAGGCACACCACCCCCAGAGGCAGCACCAACACCAGCTCCAGAACCAA